GGAACTGTTTAAAACGTATTTTCTCAGAGTAACATCCTGATCGCCAACGAGTGTGTCCGCATTGTCCTTAAAGTAACACCCTTTCATGGAAGACGAAGAGGAAGATGGGTATGAATGACTTGATGAATCTGTCACAGCCTTTTTATTGAGAATTAGTATATCCTCAAAGCTCTTAGAGAAATCATCCGAGATATATGTTTTATGATATACTAGTGGTGTCTGCTTTTCTTTAACATTTCGTTCACGTTTTTCATTTTCCAATACCTCCTCCTCAGCCTTACAACCACCTCCGAAGATGACATCAATATTCTCAACAAACGTTTTAAAAAGGATTGAACCTATTCCCAGACTCGGACAGAAGAATAACCCTAAATTACTTATATTCATCTTGTTCACTCCGCTTTTGTCGTCGACACGGGAAAGATGCCCACAGAGAGCACGAAGTAAGTAGAAATTATAAGGAGGCAAACGAGAAACAATTGGGGTCAAATCACGTGGGAGATCATTGGGGGCAACGAAGTTTGCCGCAGAGATCGGTTGCGTTTCCAAATTGGTATATTTCGCGATGCATTCATTGAATTCCGGCAACAAGGCCTCCGTCAACAACGGCTCGGGTACTATAAATTAATTTAGCATGGAGTAGTCAGTGGCTGAATTTTGCTACTAGTTATCATTAGTAAATTATTATTACATACACTCTCTAAAGTACATCTTTAAAAGTGTGGCCACAGCATGCGGATCTTCCTTCGAGCTTTGTAAAAAGTTCAAGTCCGCACCTACGAAGTGAGATAAGGTTATGATTGACGAATGATCTTTTTCAGGTCACCAATACACTGTTGTGAAATGAAAGAAACCTACACACCAGAATTGAAAATGTCACGTATGCGGAGCTCCGTCGTTCTGATCCCTGGTATCCTGTTTCAGCAGGATGCATCAATGAAAGGCACGAATAATATTTATTGAATACTCGACAAAAAAGGTCAAGCGTACCTGTAAATACCTATTTCTTCTAAACCTGTAAAACAGTTTGAACGCAACAAAATAAATTAAGCATTTCGTTGTATATAAAGTATTGTGCATGAAAAGTATGCAAATAAGTCCATACCATACTTATCCAAGAATTCTATACACCTCACTGCGACAGCAGGTAACCAGTACCTAAACGGATCTTTATAAA